CAGAAAAACTAGCTCTATAACATATTAAAATTTTAAAGAAGTTTAATCAAATAAAAATTTTGCTATTTATATTTTTTAAATTGTACTAAAATTTTTAGTATTAAAAAATATATCTAAAAATTTTTAAGCTTATTAATATAATTTTTATTAAATTAGAGCAATTTTAAATATATCAAAATAAATATAAGTATATATTTATATATTATATAAATTTAATTTAAAGTTAATAAGAAAAATTTTTCAAAATTAAAATTTTACAACTGTACTAAATTTAGTATTTTGTATTAAATTTAGTATAGCAAATAGATAGCTATTAAATATTTATAAAATAATAATTACAATATAATTTTTTTTTTAATTTTAAATAAAAATTACTTAATACTTATTTAATCAAATTCAATTAAATTTTTTTATTTTAATTCTATAGATTCATAGAATTAAAATAAAAAATTTTATTAAATTAAAATAAATAAATATTAAAAAATCTTTAATTAAAATTTAAAAAAATTTTATTTAATTTTTAATTTTTTTCTAAAATATATAAAGATTTTTTAAACTTTTATTAAATATTTCTTGACAACTATAAACCAAATTTAATAAACTTTTTTATTTTAATTCTATATATTTGTAAAATTAAAATAAATTTTTTTATTAAATTTAATCAAGTAATTGTTGAAAACCTTTACTAAAAGTTTAAAAATATTTAATTTGATTAAAAAGATTCTATAATTATTTGATAATTATTAATAATTAAAAAATTTTATAAAATATTAAGTTTTAAATATCTTCTTTTTAAAAGATTATCTAAAATCATATATTTATATAACTTTTTTGTATAAACCAACTAACCAGAATTATAAAATTTTGTTTGTATAGATCAACTCAAACAAATCAAAAAATTAAAATATAAAAAGACAAAAATAGCAGTTTATATTTATTTTAAATACTAATTAAAAATATCAATAAAGCAATTTTATTTCTATTTTTTTTCTTATATTAACACCAAACTTACTCTAATTCTAATATTAATTTTAATTAAGATATTGTAATTCATTACTATAGCAATTTATGCTACCTCTGGAATCAACCAGGGCAGCCCCCCAAAGTGCAGATCAATGGCATAGTTGCAGCATCATAATAGCCAATCGATGACAAACCTTAAGGCTATCAATCAGTACAATTGTTTATTAAGGGGTAAAATTGATATTAATATGGCTGTGGCTGCGTCATCGATCTGCACTTTGGGGGGCCGCCCTGGTCGATTTCTACCTCTGATCAATTAATTAAAATGCAAGATCTGGTATAATGCAGTACAATTAAGAAAGTTCAAAACAAATAATCATTTTGTTATAAATTATCTGTAACTTAAGATTTTGCCTATAAAACTATTTCTTGTATTCTAATTAAAAAAATTCCCTGCAAAATTTTAGATTAAGAATTTATTCTTCTAAAACCCATATTCAATCCTAACCCTAATCTTAAATTACATATAATCTTATGAGTAATGATAAATCATATAAGCAAAAAATATAAAATTCTTTTAATTAAACAATTAAAATATCAAAATCATATAGATACATAGTTTTAACTATCTCTCTAAAAAGAAAATAGCCAATAAACAAAATTGAAGATTCTATTAATAAATTTGAAATATTTTTAAAACTTCTATAGTGTGAAACAGCTAAAGATATTTATTTTTTTAGTGTTATAATTTTTTAAAACAAGTTAAGATAAAATCCTTCTTACAAATTTATTGATTTTTATATTAATAACCATTTGAAAAAGAGATTTTTAAAATTTTTAATTTATAAAAGTTATAACAATTTAAAATATTTAACTTTTAAAAATTTGGCAAATATATATAATTTTAAAAATTTTGATTAGTTAAAATTTTAATTTATATCATTTTTATCATAAAAATTTTTCTAAAATTTGGCGCATCATGAAAAAAGTAGATATCTTTAGCTGTTCTGCACTATAGCAGTAATTTTTCAATAACTATTTAATCAAATTTGATGAAAGTTTTTTATTTTGATTCTATACATCTGTAAATTAAAATAAAAAGATTTCATTGAAATTGATTAAGTAGTTATCAAGAAATATTGCTAACTTTTTAAAAAGCCTTAGAATATCTTGAAAAAAAACTAAAATCGGGTAAAATTTTTTTTTGAACTTTAAACAAAGATTTCTCGACAACCATTTATTCAAATTCAATGAAAATTTTTTTATTTTAATTCTGAGTTTACAGAATTAAAATAAAATTTTAAAACAAATTTGGCCACAACTTCTTTTTTATAGATGAATGAAGATTACTCGGCACTTACCCGGCCAAATTCAATCAAATTTTTGTTTTAATTCTATGGATTTACATAGAATAAAAAAATTTTGATCGAATTTGATCAAGTAAATGTCGAGTAATTTTCGTTCAACGTTTAGGCGTCTATAAAAAAAAAACTGTAGCTAAATTTTTTTTTAATTTTAATGAATATTTCTCGACAAAAGTTATCAAAATTCAATCAATTTTTTTTATTTTAATTCTATGAACTCAGAATTAAATAAAAAAATCTTTATCGAATTTGGATAGATGGGCGTTGAGAAGCTTAACTACTAAGCTATGAAACCCAAACACTTATACTATAATCATTCTCCGGTTGACTAGTAAATTATTAATTAATATTAATAATTTGTAAAGTAAATAAATATTAACAAATATATATATTAAAAGAAAATCTAGATAATACCTCTCTGCACTTAGTACTTTCATGACCAATCAAAAAAAAATTTTAAAATCAAAAAATTACAACTCGTATTAGGTTAGGGTTGTGTAAAAAAACACTTTTATTAGTTACGTAACATAGTAAAATTTCAAAATATTAAAGAGGAATACGCACCGTTTAGTCCTTTTTTTTTATTATCTAATTTGCATTTTGAACAAAATTGATAGCCCAAATTTAAATTGTAATCTAGGCTAGCCCAATTAATAGTTTGGGCAAATAGTCATCTAAGGCACAACATATATGTAAAATTCAGATAAAATCTAAAATATATATGTCCAATGTCCAATCCAGTCCAATGGTAATAAAAATAACACTGCCGGCAACATAATTAAATTTAATTTTGTATCATATAAATCTCTAATCAGGCTAAGTCCGGTAAATAAAATAATAAACTTGAAAGCCCAAAGTCCGGTTTTTCTTTGGCCTCACTCAAAATATGAAATATTAATTTGAACATATCTTTTAATTTTTAATTAGTCTTATTTAAAAAAAAAAACCTGCCTTATAATTTTAACTATTAAATCACCATAAATTTTTTTGATAAAATCTGATCACAGTAAAATAATCAATATATATCTTACAAAAGTTTGATTATCTAATTGATTTAACACCCTAATTATGTATGAACAATTTTTTTCAACTGTATTAAAAATGCAGTATGTCCAGTCGGTTCATGTGAAGGTCGACAAATATGCCCTAAAGCTTGATCAGGTATCTCATCATTTAGAGTTAATTGTTTAACCGAAAAACTTTCATCATCCATTTTGCCTCTTATAACTGTAGCCCTAACATCCCATGGTCTCCATTGTATTTCTAGAACTTGTTCAGTTGCTAATGCGATTTTATGATATTTGATTTGTTTTATTAACTCCAATACTTGAGTCATATTTGGTAAATAGCACACGATATATCTATCAATTTTCACTCGTGGAACGATCGAAGGTAGTTCATTCCACGGCTCAGGCATATCTAATGCTACACCATCATACATTGAAAGGGTAATGTCCATAGAATCAAGTACTTTTGAACATTGACCTATGCTGAACGATATGCAATCGGAATATATTCCACGTGAAAAACGCGTAACATTTTTACGGGCCTTAACACTGGCATCACGATTGATATCTATGGAATGTAAATGACCAGTAGGATATAAAGATCTTGCCAAATAAAGAGTTAAAGATCCATTACCCGTTCCAGCTTCCATTATCCGAGAATATGGATGCAAATCAAGCAAAGCAACCTAATATAATTTAATAAATTAATTATAATGAAAAAATGTGAAGTCAGATAAATCAATTTGAAAATTCATTACTATGGTGTTGGCATCCTTTGGATATATAGGCGTCATCAAACGCGGTATCATAACAACATATCTAAATTCATAGAGACACTATAAACAACCATTGAGAGGTGTATATATATATATATAATAAATTTGAATACATACTCATCCAAAGTAGGGAAATGTATAGTATATAACTTATCTGCAAATGTAGCATTCAATATTAAAACAAGAAAAGGTAAATTGTTAGGTTAAATATAATAAAATACCTTTGTTAGTCTTTACAACATCTCTAATTGATTTCCCAATAATGTTAGAATGTTCCAAAATACCACCCGGAACTTCCTTTTTATTACCAATTTTTAACGGGCCAACTAGGAAAACTCTTGAACCTTTAATTCTTTTTTGAGTATCGCGTAAAAGCACCATATCACCTTCTTCAAATTGAGATCTACGGTATTTTTGTGGAATTGGAGAAAAAGGCGGAAGAGTGGCAATTTCTTTTTTGAAGTGTCAAATAATTTTTATCTATAAACGACAAATTTTTACTCATAGAAATAAAAATACCGGAGGCTACATTCTTGTTCGAAGCCTTTTTTAAAGTAGTGTCACCTGTTAAGACATTTGCACGCAAACCATTTTTTTGACTCGTAATCTCGGAGAAAGTGCGACACGTTATAGTTGAGAAAAAAGTGAATCGATAACGTGAAAACAAATAATTCATCTTAAAATGGGATATTTAAATGGGTAAAAGTTACAAAATACTTGGTACATACGTGTTCCTGATTATGATAATCAACCGACCGGCATCAAATTAATGCCGGCCGGCGCAGATTGTAGTTAACTCTATACGAACTGACGATTCTGGAAGAAAAAGTTTATTATTAAATTACTATGTTTTCTTAAAAGCCCATATATCCAGAGTAAGGTTGGTTTTTATATATATTGATAAAGTTTTTTCATTTCTACTAAAACACACCTATAGATGAGCCGAATAAATTATATATGGTCATATTTGAAAAACTGCCCTTTTTTCGGATGAGATTATATTTGAAAAGTAGGTATTGAACGTGAAGGTTATACGTATTTCAAAGTGGATAATCAATAAAGAGGTTATATTTAAAATTTTGCTAATGAAATTAGTATAAAGAGGTTTCATAGGTTTCATCTTTGAGATATGCTAATGTAAAGACGAGCATGGTTTGGGAGCAAACCATGGTAATATATTTTAAAATAGGATAACAATAAGCAATATCGGTCTTATATTTGAGATATGGATAACACGCATCAATATAAAAGTGCTAACAAAAAAAATTTTTTACTAAGATGTCCAAATATAATCTCATACATAATTATTCGGAATCCTACCTATAGTGATTTATTACCTATATTTAATTTTTATGAGTTTGTATATAAAATTTTTAACCCAAATTTTTTGTTAGAATTAGTATTTGAGTGTCACCAAAAGAAAACCTGCATATCTAAAAATAGATCACTTA